ATACGTATAACACACACACTCACACATGCGCACACACGCACACACACACACACACATACATCACAAAGCTGGTCCCATTTTTCGCCCCGCCTTCCTCCGACGCACCTGCGGCCGAATTGTGTACACCTGTCGGTCGGGCAGCTGTCGGTTCGCATGGAGGACCTCGATGTCAAGCCCGTCGGTGGTGTCCGATACCGACGCGTCGTCCCTGTTGCTTCCCGAAGGCGGCTGCGACCTCCGCGTCGAGACTGGGTCCTGCTGTTGGCTCGCACAGGGCCTGTGGGCGCCCCGGTCCGCGAGGGCGTGCTGCAAGAGCCTGGCGGCGACGGCGATCACGGTCGTCTTGCCCGAGCGGGGAGGCCCCCGCACAACCACGCAGCCCCACTCGCGCGCGCCCCTCGCCACGGCCTCCGCGGCCTCGGCCTGCGGGAGAGGGGGAGGGGGAGGAGGAGGAGAAGGAGGAGGAGGAGGAGGAGGTGGAGGAGGAAGAGGAGGAGGAGGAGGAGGAGGAGGAGGAAGAGAAGAAGAAGAAGAAGGAGAAGAAGAAGAAGAAGAAGCAAGAGGAGGAGGAGGAGGAGGAGGAGGAGGAGGAGGAGGAGGAGGAGGAGAAGAAGAAGAAGAAGAAGAAGAAGCAGGAGGAGGAGGAGAAAGAAGCAGAAGCAGGAGCAGGAAGAGGAGGAGAAAGAAGAAAAATGAAGAGGAGGGGAAGTTGGGTTGGGTTGTGGATAATGATAATGAGATTACAGGGATAATGATAATAATATTACGAATGACGATACACTTTACGCACCCTATACCATGTGCAAAAAGTTTTTTTTTTCAGCGAGAGGTAATGCTCGTAATGGTAATGCCAATTAGTACTTAGGGATAATAATGGTGATATTAATAATAACAATAATGGTAATAATGACAGTACCAAATATATCGACTTCTGTCCATTTAACTTAATCTCCCGGAGAGGAATATCCAATTGGCACATACAAAAAATGACAGAAAGAAAAACAGAAGGGAATAGAGGAGGAAGAGGAGGAGGAAGAGGATAAGGAGGAGGAGGAAAAGGAGGAGGAGGAGGAAGAGGAGGAGGAGGAGGAGGAAGAGGAGGAGGAGGAAGAGGAGGAGGAGGAGGAGGAGAAGGAGATAGTGGAGAAGAGGGAAGTGGTGGTGGTGGAGGAGGAGGAGGAGGAGGAGGAGTAGTAGTAGTAGTAGTAGTAGGAGGAGGAGGAGAAGGAGGAGGAGGAGGAGGAGGAGGAGGAGGAGGAGGTGGTGGGAGAGAAGGAGGAGGAGGAGGAGGAGGAGGAGGCAGGAGGAGGAGGAAGAGTAGGAGGAAGAGAAGCAGAAGAAGAGAAAAAAGAAGAAAAGAAGAAAGGGAAAAGGAAAAAAAAGATGAAAGGGAGAAATAAGGAAAGAAAAAGGGAAAAAATGAGACTAATAAAAACAGGAGTAAAAGTATAAAAAACAAAGAGAAGAAAAAGAAAAAGAAGAAGAAGAAAAGGAAGAAAAAATAGAAGAAGAAGCAAAAAGAAAGTTAAAAAAGACGAAGAAGAAAAAGAAAAAGAAAATAACAAGGAGAAGAAAAATAAATCGAAGAAACAGAAGAAGAAAATGGAAGAAGATAAGAGAGAAGAAGAACTTTAAAAAATAAATCACCTGCTGAGAGTAGACCCTAAGACCCATCTTCTGCAAGGTCTTCTCCGCCTGCGTCTTCCCCTGGAAATCTTCGTCGATGCTCGACGGCTGTGGAGGAGGACGGAGGGGCAGTTGGAAAAGAAGACGAGGTAAATGGATGTGAATATACATATAGATAAATAAATAAATAAACATATATATATATATATATATATATATATATATATATATATATATATATATATATATATATATATATATATATATATATATATATATATACACCCTCTATATAAAGAAGTTTTGTATATGAATCTGTTCGAACTGAACTCTACTGTTGACCATGATCTTAGTCATTTATTTGTTCATCCTAAATCCGACTTTCAGACTTTCTCTATTCAGATCGTTTATTAGTCCGCATTTCATTTGCAGATTCACTGGAGAGAACAATATCATCTGCAAATCTTAGATAGTTTAAGTATTCGTCTCTTATTTTGATACCCTATATTCGGCTATTTTTCTCTTATTTGGGTGAGCGTGTGGATGTGGTCTGTTGAGAATCCACTGCAGAGCAGTTGTGAACAGTTTTTAAGTAATTGAAAGGAGGCTATGGGTCGGTAGTTTTTTTCAGATCCATTCTATCCCTTATTTTATGTGTCAAATTAATCGTTGCATTTTTCCAGGATTTTGAGAAGGCATTTGTTAAAAAGATTGGCTAGTTTCACAGTTGCAATTTCTCCTGCATCTATCATAAGGCCTCTACTAATTCC